TAAGCTAAAAAAAGGTGGTTTATTAGAAGAAAAAAACATCAAAAACAAGAGAAGTAAAATAAAATAAAAAGAGATGTATTTGCATGAAATCGGCATGATCAGCAAAGGATAAAATCGAAGTTTTTTGACATTACATGCAGTGACTGATTACACAACCATGTCCATTTATCAAAGGTTTCAATAAATAACGATGGTATATCTCTTTTTGTTTGATATATTTGAACATTTACTTAACAAAAGTCTTTGTTGGGGTTATACTGCATAACAAATTAGTTTACATATGGGAGTTCCTTTTTCTATTAAAATAGTTTGGGTTTTGTTTTGTTTAAAAAACCTTTAACAAATGAAACATAATTAATAAGGCAAATTACAAAGATTTTTTATGCTTTTCAGTGGATTACTGATTTATCCGTGAAAATTATATTTGATAATTTCATGGTGAAAATTATCAAAATATAATTTCACACTTTTCAATAACGAAACTATTTTCCTAAGAGTTTGTCCATGTGGTACCTCAATTTTATTTTTGCTGACAATTTCGACAATGTCAGACTGTTCAGAGAAAAGCAAAGCTGAATTTATAAATAACTTAAATGTCAAAAGTGATAAAAAGAAGAACACTTACTTCTATTCATTCAAATTACCAATCACCAAATATCGTCTCTTATTTTTTTGTTTCATTTTTACAGTCTAAAAAATAGATTCCTTCCACATGCAAAACTGCTCTTGATGACATTTAGGCATATTTAAGTATCCTGCGAGCAATAATTGCCGTATGCTTTATGAAAACTTGAAAAGCAATGACAGCCATCAGCCCGATGAATAAGTAAACAACCCAGCGTTCCTTAGGCAGCCTTTCAACTTTCCAAGTTTTCCAATTTCCTAACCGCTTTTTGAATGTTTACACTTCTGTCAACACTTATTTATTGTCTGTTACAATCCTCAAATAAGTTTCCTTTCGTTTAAAAAGGTGTATGACTACCAAATCCAAATGATATCCCTCAAACACAATTATTTTCCTCCCGTGAAATACACAACTTTTAAAAATGGCGACCGCTTACATTTAACAAAGCCAGGTCTAATATAAATTCGCAGTAAGTAACAGAAATATAGATGGATGGTTGGACTTTTTCTCCTACTATAATTGTTTGTTTTTATTATCAAAACAAGCGATTATTCATAATTTTTTATTAAAATGAATAATATCATCGCCATTTAACGTTGATTGTCGAACTTATTTTTTCAGCCCAAGACTTTTATGAGAAATTCGACTAATACATGTACGTAATAGGTCTACCAGTGGGGAAAATAGATTTTAATATTAAAGTTAATATCAAGGAAATTTTGTTTTAACTTGTTTTTAAGCATAAAATAAAAAGGAAATTTGTTTGTTTGTTGTATAAGATGTAATTTTATTTCATCTCGTGAACGAAAAAAAAAACAGTATTCTCACTCGTGAGAATACCGTTTTTAAAGCACACTCGGTGAAATAAAATTTCATCTTACACACAAACAAACACATATCCTCTATATATTAACAACAAATAATTCATGCCATTACAAAATTTATAAAAATATATGCATACCAGGTTGGTTATAGTAGAAAACTTAAGAATAAATATACATTAAAAATAATCTATCTAGTATTCTGTAAAGTAAAGAAATAACCAATAATCTAAAGAGATCTTATTACTTCGAAAGCAATGAGAGGAGTTGTCAGTTACTTCGAAAATATGTTAGCCTGCAGAACCAAATTTAGAATAACTTTTATACCAATCACTCGTCCATCATTGAAAAAAACTGCTCTACCAGGTCAATCAACCATACACAAAAGACAACAGATAATTATATACAAAGCACAGCAACAGACTTGGCCTAACATTCTTACTTGAACAAATACTGAAAACCTAATAAAAATGAGAATTTGTCATTTTATATCTTATCTACATTTATATAATCATTATGGTCTATGTTGGGGATATACTGCAGAATAAATTAGTTTACATATGGGAGTTCCATATTTTATTAAAGATATTTATATTTGAATCTGATTGTAAATTGGTATTATAAAAAGTTAATTGTCAATTAAACAAAATTAATTCTGATAAAACACAACAACCTAAGTGCTCTTCCCTGTAATTGAAAATGCTCTTGATGGTCCGACACTTGTGCAAACGTTTGCTTCTTGTTATATTCAATTTATCATCCCCGTTGTGCATATCCATATTATTAAAAGGGAGATCCCTTAAGAACAAAACAAATACATGTAGTTGCGGACTGCTGGCTTGGTTAAATAGAGTCTGTTCAAGTGCAAAAATGGGAAGCAAAAAATGTTCTAAGCACCCTGCACCAGCTTTAACCCTCTCAACCCTCTCAACAATATGTTCCATGATAATCCCGAAGAACCAGAAAAATATTTGGTCGTGTTTAGTTTTAATTTGTTTTTGTTTTCAGCTAGCACATAGTAATAAATATTAAGATATCGTTTAGGTTTACTTCAACCTAAAGGATAATCAACAATTACAGTCGTTCAATATGTATCAAAGAGATTGATTCGTTGTTAACATCATTTTCCTCCTCACAAATATTAAACAATAATAGTAAATGCAATATATTATTCAGAAAAGAAATCGCTGTTAAAGGTATTTACTGATAGTTTTATGTCTGACAGCGTTGAATATTAATGTTTTTCCCCATATTCGTATTATAGATTATATAAAATCAAAGTAAATTTAGATGACAAATGGGCATGTTTGTACCAAAAATAAGCCAGAAGACAATTATAACAATAATTCAGACGAATGCTCTGTTTAGCCTTTTTATTGCTCCGCCATTGATTGACATCTTACTATGATTACAACGAGCATGGCTCCAAACATATGGGAGTAATGAAGGTCATGTTGTCCCATTTTGATAGATAAAGCTCTCCATTATCAAAAGTTTGTCATTTTATTGCATTTAAATCATCATTCTCATAATCAAAAAAAAAAAAAAAAAAAAAAAAAAAAAAACAACATAATCCGGAATTAAGAATAAGTTGAGGTTTCCCCGCTAATTCAGAGATTTGTACATCTTTTGTAATCAAGTACAACAAGTTCATTGCATAGTGAACGGTAAATGTTTTTGTACACATTATCACCATCATCATCCTTACAATCATAAGCAACAACATCCACCACAATACCATCACCACCATCATCTCGATATAATTCACTCCGTCTCAAAAGATGAATTTAAAGAGCCTCTTATTTGAGTAATCATATTGGAACATTGAATTGGTATTTAAAATGCAGGTAAGATTCGTTCGGGACCAAGACGTGAAAGTGAACGAGACTGGGCTCCGTGCCGGAGGTTCAGTGAAGTTGAATGTTTCCATTGAATGTTGGCTTTTCTTGTTGACCATCGTTCTCATATTTTACAATATTATGTTCAGGCGATTTCTTTGCAATGATTTTACACATGAAAAACAAATTAATTAAGCACAAAACATATCCTTAATGACATCATGAAACTCATTTTCATTTATTGATCATGTTTCTGATCATGTTTCTGAAAATAAATTTGAGTATTTTAATCCTGGTACCATGGTTTAAAATGATTGACCTACTGTTGAGTATTGAGTACCGCTCAAGCCGGTGCTAGGGGGCGTGAGGGATGTTGTGCTTATTCATTGTCCCTCGAGTACAAAGAGACTCAATCAAAGCGAGCCTGCAATTCTCTTGTAATTTTGTTGTGATTGATGCTTCCGAGGGATCACTTTGTTTCGAGATTTTTAGGTGATGAAGACGATGCCCAAAACATCAGACATAATTTAGATGATGTGTATGACGACTTTTCAGTAAAAAGAAAACTGATGACGACGACGTTTGTTGTTGTAATACTGATCTTTTGTGAAAATAATACGAATTACGATTATCATATTTACAACGGAAATTGGGATGATAAATTTGTTTTAATTATAAGCCTTTATTGTTAATGATGCTGGTAGTAATATTCCAGCGGATTATGATGATTATGTTATTTGTAGCTGTAGTGATGATGAAGGCCACACTGTGTATAATTGTTAAATATGTCGAAGTGGATGCTGTTGTTAAGGATCAGATAGATGAGGATCATGCGGATGCTGATGCCAAAGACGAAAAAAACAACATTTTTGTTAACATGATGATGAGCGTAATAAAGATAACAATCAAAACGATGTTTCGAATATGACGGTGATATTAGTGAGGATGCCAATTATGATAGTTAGTGTCCGAATTAGGAGGAGGCAACATGAAGATGTTTTTCGATGCCATTAAAACGGAGAATTTGTAGTTAGTGAGTGTCCAAAATGATAAAATATGACGACGGTATAGACAATTGTTGTCAATAAAAATGGGGAGGTTATTTTATTTTCATGACAACAGCAAGTTGTAAAATTACAGTACAAGCGTGTCAAACGGTGTTTCAAAGACAATACAAGATGTCTGTAAGTGGGGATTGGAAATCGGAAATCGGCAAAATAAACTAATGCACATAAATTACTGACGACAAAACTTTCGTAATTTATGAAGAATGTGTCAACCATCGATCAGTTCGTAACAGAATTATAATACTGATCACAAATATATAAACTAGCAGCCCATATTTTAAAAAACAATGGAAGTTGTCAACCGTTTTATGATAGAAAGCTTTTTTGTGTCTGAGCAAATCTAGATGTTGAAGAGCAGAGCTAACTAAAGTAACTAAAAGCCCTCAGCGGGGGCTTAATGTAACACGACAATATCCTTTTTTGGTAAACACTTATAGTGATCCAAGATTCGTGTGAGAATAAGAATTATTTCAACATATAAAACGTCACAGATCAAAGGTAATCGTAAAATCTATTGCGTAACACCCTCTCCTACAACGATTAAACACAACAATTGGTTAGGGAGGGCCCAAACTCTGGTATTGGTTGAATGCTAGAAGATTCTCATATGCAGGACGAATATAAAACCCAAATTTTCTTACATACAATTCATATCTTTCGAAATAATTTCGAAATATAAGTTTTACATTTCATTATGGATAGCAGAACAACTAATTGTGAGTAGATGGTATTTAAGTAATAATAATGATGACATTTTTCATTTTATTTTTGTTTCAGCATATGTGTCTCATAATGCATAATATCTTTAAATTATATTCATATTAAATATTATTTATCATTTTGTAAAATCCATAGAATAACACTGCCAATGGAGTTAAGCTTTTCTTAATTGATGAATCTGCATATAAAGCGCAATAGATCTACTTCGGAAGTTTGCATCTTAATAATCTGGTATTTTCTTGAATTTGTTTGTGTGTTTTATTTATTTTAAGTATCTTTATGTATATTGATACTTTTCATAATCTTTTTTATTCATTTTTCAGCTCATTAGTAAAATATTCATAAAATATGATAAGATTTATCATGTCGAAATATTGCTTTATATATGGCTTTAACTTTTAAAGGCTTGTTGAATAGGATATTTAATATCTTTAAAAATATCTGCAATAGATCGAGTACAAAAAGTATAAATATTAACTTACTTTGAGACACATTATTTTACTTACAGCTGTCTGACATATCGTCATTAGTAAATGAGTCGTATAATCGCGTTTGAAAATTAGTTTAAATCTTTCATCAAAATCTTTTGCAAAAATCCAACTAATGAAATACAGATTAAATTGTGTCAGTATGTGTTAGGTATATAAATCAATGAATTAAAACTTTATTTCATAAATTTCATAAAGAGAGATATAGTTACATTTCGTTAATACGTCAAAGGGGTTAACCATAGACTCCAGTCTTGGTATACATACTATCAAACTTAGTTATATAAGCGACAATGGCTGCAACTTCTTTACGGTTGAAATTGAATGTACAAACATAAAAAAACAACCAACAAACATTGCTTTAAGAAGCAGCTCAGGAAAATAATTCTTAATTAAACGGTACACCAATAAGGTATGACGGTAAAAGTGTGTATGCACACCCGGATAAGCTGTGAAAATGTCCCACATTTCTCGTGTTCCGGGTAACAACTATTGTTATTTAAACTTTAACAATGTGACGTTTCGATTGCCTTTAAGCACCCAGGAACTAATTATAGTATTCAAGTTACATGCTTAAATTTGTGACATAACTTTAGTGTTACCAACGGGTGTTCTTTTTAAGTTTTTTGAATAATATTTAATCAGATTTACAACAAAGCTGTAAGAAAGATTAACAGAACTGACAGAATGCTTAGTTTTAGGGCGACGGCAAATGTTTTACATTAAATGCAGCTTTAAACCATATAAATCCTCATCATTTATTTCTTAGACTTTCAATAAATATTTCATTTACTAATACAGGCTTTGTGTTACTCTTGGTCATTTTGATAACTTCCGGTTATTGTGCAGCCCTTGCTGGAAACTCTACTCCAGCACCTGGTGCAAATAAAACAAACAACGTAGTGACAGCAGCCCCAGCCCTTACTGGAAACCCTACTCCAGCACCTGGAGCAAATAAAACAAACAACGTAGTGACAGCAGCCCCAGTTCAAGGCGCAAATTCTCCTACAAACTCACCAGGTAGAGACAAAATGTATATTTTTTTCCTGATATTTCGTGCAATTGGCATTATCATTCAAAAGTGACATTTACTATGGTGGCTGATTTACGTTAGTCGTATTTTCGCTTCTTTGCCTCAAAATGTGAGATGCGAAAACATGAAGAAACGACAAAGTTGGACCTTGTCGTCTCTTCGTGCTTTCGATCTTTCAGATTTCGAGGCAACAAAGCGAAAATACGACAGGAGGGCGAAAATACGACAGATAAAAGCTGTCGTATATTCGCATTCCATCTGTCGTATTTTCGCTTTTTCGCATTGTTACATTTTCGCATTGTTGCATTTTCGCTTTTTCGCATTGTTACATTTTCGCATTGTTACATTTTCGCATTGTTGCATTTTCGCATTGTTACATTTTCGCATTTTCGCGTTCCGGTTGTACATGCGCATGGAGACATCAATCTGAAAATACCTAAACGTTACAGCTAATGACATTTTTTGTACCATTAGTTTATTGTTTCCCTTCCTGTTTCAAAGCGTTAAGTACCGTGAACTAAGAGAAGCACAGTATAATACAATATGATCTAAATACAATATACTCATTGAAATTTTTTATGAATTTGAATTGTTCTTCTTTTACGTCTAATATTGGGAAGATGGCAGTTAGAATGACCATCAAAAGAGCTGTGTTTTAAAGATCTGGGGAATGCCTGACAACATGATATAATGTAATAATATAATAATATAAATCTTAAAATGCAATAAAAGCCACTGAAGAAAGCTGAATGACCGAGAACTATGGCGACCAAATGTTTTCATATGTGTGGGTTTTGTTTTATTAATTTATTAATTTAAACCATCAAACTTTTTTTCTAACTTCATCCAACATGCAATCAAATAAAGTATGTCTAATACTAGAATTCACCGACGTTATAAAATACTTTCCTGTGAAAATACACCTCAATCTCAGAGTAAATATCTATTTTAAGATGTGTGCGGGCAGTGACTTTATCGTTTATTCTCATGTCACACCCGTCAGCGGTAAAATATTAGAAAAAAAACTGATAATCTAAAGATGGTAGGAACTCAAAAATGTATTTATTATAATAATTGTTGCTAGTGCTGCAAATTCATAGGGTAAAATGACACCGAAGTGGTCTATGTCAGCCAACAGCAAGTTTTATATACCAAATTGTTTGTCTGGGCCTGTAGTTTCCGGAATGAATATTCATTTGTTTCAAGTCCGATGCGTAGCTTAAAAATTCAAGATGGCGTCAAAGATGGCCGCCAAATCCCTAAATATTCTATAATATTAATATTTGCTCATACTTGTTTCCGCTTTTGTATTTCAAGTGAAATTTTTGCACGGAAGGTATCATTTAAAGCGTTTTATACTAAGAGATTTAATTTTGTTGGAGAAAACAGATTGCTTTTTGCTTTTTTATACGTAAATAAGCAAAATAATGCTAAACATATGGGTTTTTGCTAGGATACTCTTGTTTTAGCTTAAACAGAGAAATATCTATTAATTATTTTGTTATTCCACTATTGTAATGTATTCATGAGAGTAAATGCTTTAATGCATTCATATCATATCTAAAGAAATCTTTCTTTGTAATTATGCAGTAAGACATATAAAATGACAGGCGGTACATTAAAATAGTTTTTCAATGTAAGGTTGTAACTGGTACTTATTTGTTCTATCAATTATTTCCCCAAATTTTGTGTTTCTGTCAAATTATAGCTTCTTTAGTGCAGTCCATGTAACTGATTAACATAATAAACCAGGAATATGATAATTTGCTTCTGGTTATTTAATGAATTATTGTTCAAATCGTACCCCACCCACTATGAATAAAAATCTAGAGAAACTCTGACCCCTCGATTATACTGATTATATGGAATGACAATATTTACGTAAGTTAATAAACACAAGGTGATTTTCAAAGTGTGATACTATTACAGGTATCCTGTCAGATCTAAAAATCTGTTCAAAAAATGTGTTACCAATTTAATAAGCATGATTTTGTTGTAAGTTCACCTAAGGATTTGAAAAGTACAATGTATGCAAAACAACCTCTGTTCATTTATTTATATGTTACACACCTTTTTATGTCAAATGAAATGTAATTTATTTTTTAAAAGTTTCTTAATTGACAAAACAGTCATTTAAAAAGTTTGATATTTTTATCTACATAGATCATTACTCTGTTGACCTTCGGTTTCATGGAAACATGCATAGTAGTCGGATAAAACATAATGTTTATATGAAAATCGTTCAGCTTGGCATTATAATTGTGTTTGTGTTATTTAAATTCCTTCTATTTGACCTTTTTAGATTTGTGTGGTTCTAGTATTTCTTTTTAAATGGTGTATAATAACCCTTTGGATAAATACTGTATAATAACCCTTTGGATATGTTACCTGCTTTTAAAGATTATATTTTGACCTTTGATCCCGTTTTATAAATCCATTTTGTTTAAATTCCCCTATTGTTCTCTATTTCTTGTGGACAATAAGTTGTTATGTCGTGAAATTGCACGAACAGTTTACATTGAAAATACCATGATCACTGTCGTATGAATGCATCTATGGACGTGTATTCACTTCCTTTAAGTGTACCAGTTTATGTAAAATTGAGAATTCTGCTTAAGCCGGTGATAGGGGGTGTGGATGGTAACTTGCAATTACCACTACCGGTATGTTCCTATATGACGACACAGTGTTAATAAAATAAATCCCCGCCAAGTAAAATTCTAACAATTGTTATGGTTACATTAGACGAAATAAGTAAAATACATACATGATCGTGTAAATATGTACAATTAAGGTACAGCATAATTACCATAACCAAAGTACTCGATGCCTTAAAGGAAGGCAGAGCAACAAGAACATCACTTACCAAGACAGAAGACGAAATTAAAACAATTAAGAACGAACAAAACATCAAAAATGAAAATGTTGCAGGCTTGGTTTGATTGAGCCTGTTCATGAACGGCACTGTCAAGTGCAAACTACAGTACACGCCCCCTATCACCGAATTAAGCAGAATTCAACATTTAATCATGGTTATTGTGAACCTTTGGATTTAGAATTAATTGCAGACGCGATTATAATGTGGTTATCATGGAACCTTCAATGTGACACGTTAGTGTCATTCCATAAAAAGCGGCGTATGGTCCCCAAGTACAAGAATGTGTGTGCCCTAAACAAGAAAACTAAATAAAATGGAATTTTGAAAGGGGATCAGAGGTTATGAAGCCTGCATGCCATAGATAAGCTCTCAGCTTCAAAAAATCAGGCCTCCTAATACCTAGACGTAAACGAGTTTTTAAAGTACAATTAAATTTTAAATATATCTGAATTACGACGACAGGACTTTGTAAAATATTTACGTAATTTATGATAGCGATAGCCAGTAATGAATAAATTGCGTTCATTAGAATCATCCACACGACAGCAGGTCCAGGCAAACCTAATTAACTTAGAAATATATATACCCAATATGATGTTGCATGAAGTACATGTGAACAGTTAACAACGTTATTTAAAAAACCAATTATCATAGATTTCAGTTAGTATGTTATTGTTAATGATAGAAATGTTTAAATTTGAAAATATTTAGAGGTTTTTTAATCATTTTACGTTCACTTGGATATATTTAAGATTTCACTTGATCAAATTTAATTATTCATGTTAAGGATATCATCTAGGTAGCGGTAAGTGCTATTAATGCAACGTATAGCCTTCGGTTGTGAAATAGTAGAGAGACTTAACTAGTAACAATATAAAATTAAATATAAAGTAAACTAACATGTCATTGGCATTATGATTGTAAAAATCAGGAAAAGAGAAGATCCTTTGAGAGCAATTAAACATGGCAAAGTTGATAATTCAAATTCAGTTTGATGGGGTCTGTTCATGAGAGACCATATCTCACGTCTCTTAGTACCGACTAAGTAGTATCCAATCCTCAACTATAAAATTTTGCAATCAATGATCCCGAAGGACTAAGTCGTCCGGTAGAGCGTTGGACTGTGAATCGGGCAACCAGGGTTTGATTCCCGGACGGGGCAGGCCACTTTTTTGTGATTGATCATGAAATAGTTTCTACGGTTATTCGCACTGTACTACTGTTCTGCTATGTACAGAAAATTCAGTTCCTTGCGAAAGTGAGGGCAACTAGTACTGGTAAACTGCTTGACAGCCTGTCCAGGAACGATTCGGTGGCTGAACTGTGCTCTGGTAAATTCACTATGGTTACTGCCGTGATCCGGATTGAAAACTACCGACACAAACACCACGATCCCGAATGACCTATTAATATTACACTGTTAACCTGCTGTTGCAGAGTCGGTTTGATTGAGCCTGTTCATGGACGGTACTGGAAAGTGCATGTTACTCTACCCCCCCCCCCCAGCACATAGTATTGCCATGGAAAAGATTAGCTATTTTCGTCCAATTGAAAGCTCTTCTTTATTCCTCCCATGAAGTTAACAACAAACTTAAAACAAAATGCTAAAAATCATACACAGGAGCTGTCAGCAAGTCAACAAGTGTGCAAGGTCTCAAAGTGATATGTCGATGGAATTCTGAAATTATCTGAGGTGGTAATGTAAATTAGTAATAAGTTGAAAAAAGGGGCAAATTTCTGTCAAAATGCTTGATAGACCTCATCCAGTGATGGTAAACAAGTGTGCAAGTTTCAAAGCCATATGTCAATGGACTTTGAGATGGTACGCAAACTTTAACGCCGACGCTCGGGCGACTAGGATAGTTGTCCTTAATCGTTGAATAGTTGAGCTAAAAAGAAACTGCCCTCATAATATATATTTTTAATTCACTCAATATATATATATAATTCAGATCCAGTCCAACAGAAAAGTCTCTTACTGTAAACTAAATAACCTACCCATTTTAAATGTTCTAGAAAATTACATTTTACATTTTAATGTTTATATTATATCCGTCATCAAAAATGACAACACTCCAAATATGGTTCAATTGTAATTATCATATGTTAAGCCAATGCCTGAAAACATGAGCTGCATGTCAGACAGCACGCTCGAATATTTAAAATCAACAGCCTGCATAATAAAGAAATTCTCTTATTCATAAAGTAGTATAACTCTTTGAAATAAAAACATGTTAGAGGGAAGTAACCTACAATAATGATCTCAAAGATGTGTTTAGTTTCAAGTGCATTACCTCAATGGTTGTGGAGATAAATCTTGTCCGAGAAATTCTGTAAGTTAATAAATAGATATTATTATTTCCTAATAAATGCTTAGCTAATGGGTTTTGAACAGTGACCTACAAGTATAATCAAAATCACATTTGAAGACTAACAATGAATGTTTATGGCTAAGGAGAAACAAACTTGCAAACAAATCCTTAACAAAAGGCTAGCACAAAGTCAACGCAAATACCGAATTGCAGGTCAGTAAATTAGTTCCTTATTGTGTGCATAAAAAAATAAAAGAGATATTTCAACATTAAGACACACATGCAAGGCATTTTCTATGAAAGGTAAGATGTCTCATCACTAACCAATTAAATAAAATTGTTAATCTTTTTTAATATCACTATTATAATATAAAACAAAAAAATATTTAATTTAAAGTTGACTCCCCGTTCGTAATACCCCACCCACTTTGTATATGAATTTAGATCAATAAAACACATTTATGGCATAGTTCGCTTATTCTTACTTATTCTACATATGTGTAGATTTAGTTTTAAAGCTATATTAAACGAAATCATGAATGTTATCCTGTTTAAACAAGAATAAAACTAATAAGTTACACGTATTCAGAAAAGGACACCCAGTTTGCAACATATTTTTCTTCTTTCGTTGAAATTAGGCGATGAAAACTAGAAAAAAAATCCATAAAGTCAAAATTTATAGCATGAGTCAGTTGAAAAAAAAGAAATTTTATGCAAAATTTCTATTGATTTACAAAACTGAAAAAGGAAATAAGCAAACGTAAATATACTAGAATATTTCGGGATTTGGCGGCCATCTTTGACGCCATCTTGGATATCTTAGCTTCGCATCGGGGTTGGGCCAAATGAATATCCATTCCAGAAACTACAGATCCAGACGAACATTTTGGTATATGAAACTTGCTGTTGGCTGACATAGACCACTTACCCCTCTAAATAGGCTAGTAAAATGGGCTGATTTGCAGCACTATGCAGTAATTGATTCAAAACAGTCTGAAAGCCTTACCTTTATAATATTTTATTATTTTACATGTGTAAGGAGCGGGATGATACTTTTAAATAATACATCTATGTGAATACAACATATCTTATATAGGACTATTAAATAATATATCATTGTGATCAGACATTACAAAACTTAATAATAATGATATTGATAATAATAAATTGATGTCTCCATGCGCATGCACCACCGAACGCAAAAATGTAACAATGCGTAAAAGCGAAAATGCGAGGAGACGACAAAGTTATACTTTGTCGTCTCTTTGCGTTTTTGCATTTTTGTATTTTGAACGCGAAAGAGCGAAGAAACGACAGATGGAATGCGAATATACGACAGATTTTATCTGAAAATGCGAAAAAGCGAAAACACGAAGAGACGACAAAGTCCAACTTTGTCGTCTCTTCGTGTTTTCGCATTTTCGCATTTTGAGGCGAAGAAGCGAAAATACGACATGGCGTAAATCAGCCACCATAATTTACTGATGCGTATGTGTAAAAAAGCTGTCATATCTTGTAAAAACGTACTCTCTTTTGCGTGGAATTTTATTACTTATTTTCTTTTTTTCCTTTTATTACAGCGGCTACAACAAAATCGGTAAGTCACTTTGATTCATAAAAATGGGCCTCAGGGGTATTTGTGCTGCAATTAATATAAAAATATTTGTACCAGTTTAAAAGTTTAACTCATTTTACATTGCTATAACGCGATAAAATAATGCTTGACTTAGCTAAAATGAATACAAAATACGATAATAGATAAAGACAAAGAAAATACTCAACGAATCAGGAAAATGTTATTTGTAATGTTTTGTTTACGGATTGCGCATCAATAAAAGTTAGTTGCTAAGTGAAGTATATAAAATGTTAAAATTAAAAAGTCAAAACAGAATCCCTAAATAACGCCCAAAAACAGCAAAATTGAAAATGTTGCAGACTCGAATTGATTGAATAACTACAATTATTTCAGCCAAAACACTGCATCGAGGGAAAATGTGTTGCTGCTGGTGATGATGAATCATGTCTTGGGAAAGTTACAGGCACATGTCCGTTCATTGGCAGCTGTACGGTATGTAAATTATTTCATTAAACGAATATCTACAATATTGAAGTTTTTACTGTGACAATTATCAAAGATGTCCCAAACTAATTTAAATGACAAAGACCATAATGTAAAACTTGCAGGATAACATGCTTAAAATGGTTTTATTTTAACTCACATCTCACTCACTAACAATTAAATGGAAAGTAAATGTGCTATCATTTATTTTCATATGAATGTCCCTTTTGTTTAAAAAAAATCTATATTTAAAAGGATACGGAAAAAATTAATCAAATGTTATTTCTACAAGTAAAGGTTTTTTCAACTGTTCACCGTTTTCTTTCTTAGAAATCTTCTCTTTGATGAAGGCATGCTCGTGCAAGTATCATTATCATTAACTTTGTCAATGACAGTTTAATTTAAAATAAATCAAAATCATCTATGGTACACCACTAAATATTACCAAGATGCAGCTACGAAATTGGTTTCATTTCTACTTGTAGAAAATAATTACCAAGAATCAAACACACTCAGTTTTTGAACTTGCTTGTGGTAAAGCAACCTGTCAAAAGGTAGCATCGACAACAACAGTGAATCCAACACCAGCTGCAGCAACACCAACGACAACTTCTACATGTTGCACTGATGCTCTATGCAATAAGTTTCAACCTATGTCAGCAGGTGCTCGATTTAGTACAAACGTACTTTATCTCGGAGGAATACTTCTTTTGTTAGCATTGATATAATGCTACACATAATGATTTGAACATGTTTTATTCGTCCTTAAACTTTGAGAAGAACTTCTTTTGGTAGTATCTGTGATATGAGACTCTTAATGATAGGAAGATATGTTATTATAATCATCACTATATGAACACCTTAAAGACATGTATTGATTTAACATTCAAATTGTTGCTTATATTCAAAAGATTTAAAATGAAAACCTTATCCTATTTATTGTACATTGTTGCAGCCAAAAACGGTATCAAATGACAAGTGACATAATGATAATATAATAACATCCATAAATGATTGCTATTGTACAAACTGAATAGTGTATTGAAATACTGTAAATTTGAAAACATATATTGACAATTAGTTTTAAAGTATTGCTGTTAAAAAAGTGGTGATTAGCTGGCATTGTTCTGCTTCTTTTATATGGATGACCTGATGAAGCTGCAAGCTGAATAATGTGCTCAAATGATACATAATAGAAGTGGTATAATGTTAGATTAACATATTTGTCTATCTATGTAGCTTTTGTAGTTCTTTTTATAAAAACCATAGAAAAGAGTGTACATGTAGTTTTATTTAGAAACAGACATATAATAAACACATTATTTGAAATTGTTTGTTATCTTTGACGTAAAAAATGTAAATAAAGAAAAGTGAGGTCTTACAGATTTTTGCTTGGTTAATTACTTGTGTCGTTTTATGTATTGATAAGATTATCTGATTCAATTTTAAACTTTGAATCCGTTTACCAATCGTGTCTTCTAATCAAATCTTGAATACACATTTTGCACGTGTTTTGCAGTTACATGTGAGCAAAAACCAAGAGCAACACAAATACGTAATTCTTAGTATGTGTTTTTAATTTTATTTATAATTGGCTCCGGCTATGTCGTATGTCCTAGACTATTGGCCTCTATTAGGTCGCTGGTCGTTGAGCCGCTACGGAAGATTATATTTTAATCGCCTCCATACATCGCTGGTTGGAGAACCGCTACATAAGACTAAGTTTCGTCGCCTCAATACGTCGCTGGTCGTAGAGCCGCTACGGAGGACTAAGTTCAATCGCCTCTGTTCGTCACTGATCGTAGAGCCGCAACGGAAGTCTTCTCAACCTGTCTGTCGTAGTAGATATCTTTTCACCAGGACCAAATTCTTCACATCGTTGAACGCAGAAAGACACTAGTATAGAAAGACACCTCTTCCGGGAGGCAGCAGCATTCTTTAAGAGCCAATCCATTCGCCGTTAATCAGGTCACAAGAGCAAGGTGACCTAACAAGGTCATACGTCTGGTGCGACTTATGCACTCCGAACGACGTGCACGCCACGAAGGGGTGTCGGAGTTGAGTAATTATTAGAAAATACATTGTCACTTATATAGTCTACTTAATTGTCCATTGTATTTTCGTGTGTTTGCATTCAGAAGCTTAGAAGTATTTTGTTTGAAACATGTATAATTTAATTCTAAATGATATGTCGATAACAATGAACATCTACATAAATTAAAATGTCATGTGTCTAATGCATAAAGGCTCGGTTATCCATTTTTCACATTTTTATCTCAAAATATATGATTTTTCAAGCAAGCCTTTGCCACTCCAGATGAACCAAAATATTTCAAGAAAATCAAACAAGATTTTTTTTAAGTAAAAAAGATCGAAGATTCAGGTGATAATTTACAAGTTATGTGCGATAAAGGATTGATTTTGAAGTATTTATCACCATATTTCTACTGGGTGACTAATGCAGTTAGTGCTATGCATATCTAAACCTCTTTTTAGCATTTTACTTGGGTCGTTCAATGTTTTTTGCAATGTTTTTGCAATGTGTAAACCACTTTCCTTGTTGACTTCACAACATTTTACTTTTAAATACATTTTCAAAATGTTCATGAAAGTAAGCATGAATGCGAAGGTATGCAGCGTTTATACTTTGTACTCTCAGGCTCGATAAATAATGTAATAGTGATAAAAACTGTATGAACTTACAGATCAATCGTTTACTCTTGGGCATATATCAAAAAAGTACTTATTACATTTAATAAAAGAGTCAATTGTGAAAAATTTATTTCGTGAATGCTTAAATATAACTCTTATACTCTTTAAGATCTAAAGTGTCCCGAAGTTTTTACGTCTTATATGCGTACGTACATTTGTTCATCAATAGCTTTAGAGATTAACTAAAATAAGCAAACTGAAGTTTATGCGATAGAAACAACTTTTTTATGTAAATGAAAATATTTAATATGTGTTGGTTATATTAAAAATCTCGAGAGCTTTGTCAACAGAGGAACGTAATCATACGACAAGCTTTGTTTGCTATCTTCATTGTCGCCTAAACATGACCGGAGATGTGTTGAAGCTTTACTTCCATGTAAACAATATTTTTGTATCGCCATTTCGTCATTGATAGTATTGTTTCTGTTCATCAGAGAAGATAATAAAAGCAACATTTCTCATGTATTTTAGCACCGACATGAATTAAATTTTCAATATTAAAATTATTTGTTTCAACATCTGTGTATCATCATTATGAATACACTTTTTATAACATTGTTGCTTATCAAAAGAGCATAAAGAGTATGAAAAGAAAAGCAGTTTATTCATGGCTTTACTTAAAAAAATACTTAATATGAAAAGATTAAGTAAAGATTAAAACCTATAGATTATTATCTTATCAAAAAGTAATTAACAGTTAACATTTTCCCCTTTCTTTTCCGTGGATGTTGCAGACTTTATCATTATGATTTACTTATCAATATTTTGTTACCTGTGATTTTTTTTATTTGGTAGCTAGGAAGACAGTATGAAAGATACCTGGCAACGTTTATTAGAGTTGAGTCAGAATTATAATACTATAATTTCCTGAGTTTCGTATTTATTGGACATCAATAATTACAAATATCTCTGAATAAACTTAATTAACTTGTGACAAGCTGCAATGCAATGAACAGTTGTTTATGATTTGCATCTGAGTATATAGTTAACATGTTTAACTGTTTCATAAACAGTTACTTTAACACGTGTAAAAAGCAAAGAAGACTTCCGAAGTCCTTTAATGGATTCACACATATGTTACCTGTGTAAGTACATATTTTTAATAACAACTTAATACAAGAACTCGTATCTATAAAGTGATACTTATACACGTATTATCTTGTAAAATGACCCAATAGAAATTCCAAATAAGGCGATATTGCTCTTTAGTAAAAGTTAAGGCAAAAGTCTTATAAACTCTGTCAGTATCATTTTGTAATGAATCGATGACCTAGCTCGAAATGTCTCCTTAATTTCTTGTTCGTAAATATGTCTAGATATGACCTTTTCACAATGTACAATAAAGAACATTTTACATTTTATACAGTTGTGGTCATAATGAGTGGATTTGCAACAATTTATGGAACAAATGTACTAACAACAATGAAAGTATCAAATGATACAACAATAAAGACAACCATGAAAACATCTACTTTTGGACAAAACTTAAACACTTCTATTGACACAACGGAGCCAATTACCACTGATAAGAACAAATCTGAAGCTGTTGATAATGAAGTGCATGCGTGTAATGACACCGATGAAACAGGTATTTAGATGCAAGTTCATATCGATATCATTATTTACATAGCTTGCTGTACTCTCAGTTTAGTTTGAGAGCTACACGGGAACAATTTGTTGTTATGAATCAGCTTGATCAACGGGACTGTGAATGTTTGTATATGATTAGAGAGAAATATTTATTCTGTATACTGTTGTTAAATCAATAGAAAACTGTTGGTGCAACTGCCTTTAAGCGTTTTCCTTTTTTCCAGAGCTTAGAAATTGTGGATTTCAACCTGTTTTATTTTAAACTCGACCATCAAATTTATTATATGTCATCCAATGGACATTCAACTGTAATTATCAACTGATGTATTTTGATAATTGCAGCTTCACGTCTGAGTTCAGCCTTCCCTATGACACAAAATACTAGCCAAACAAGCTTCTCTGTACGAATGGAGGACGCAACTGCTTCGGGTTTAGGAATGCTATTTTCTCGAGGTCAAACTAGGACAACTATAAAGGTTACGTCCATACGATCTTCTTCAAAAATAACAAATGATAAATCAACCGCGTCCGTAAACCAATCGTCTCAAATTGAGACGCAAACGAATACATCCGCAATTTCAGGTGAGATATTTTATGTGTTTTTTGTTTTGCTCTAAATATCTTAATAGATAAAAATATTTCTTTATATTGAATATGTTGTTCGTATAACGCTTTATGTCAGTCTATGTTAGTTTCTTAATATTGCTAGCGATGTTCTTTTTATGTTCACATGCCTGAAGACTCGTTTTTAGTGTAGTTTTCATTAAAACTCATCGTCCATTTCTTTTTATCCACTGCAGCATATGTGATGCTGTGGCATATAGTGATTAACTTTTAAAAAAAACCTACCTAGGTGGTAGACTTTTTTTCTAAAAGCTAATGCTGCACAAATTGGTATAAGCCGATCCAAAGAAGGGTGCTGAATCTAAGTATTAGTAATAAAAAGATACGAAGGGGAAGGAAAGATTAAAATAGCGAAAATAATTATATCCAACAACAAATCTTATTTTATGATAGATAACATGAAACACATTTATGTGCGTGTCTGTGCCAAATATAAAATAAATCCCCAGTTATATTAAGCCATCTACTACCCGGCGCACATCGACACGAAATTTTAAATCATTACATTGTCAAATAGGGGAATAATGCAATGTCTAAATAATGCAATGTCAAATTCTTGACTGAATGGCACATAATGTAGTCTCTCAAAAACAAATACACTTTGTTTTTTTTTGTTTTTTGATTGTTTTGTGTGTGTCTCCTGATATACATGTATATGAAAAGGTATGTTATCTCGGTGAAACATAAATGTTTGTTATTTTCAATATATTCTGTACTACTATTGAAGAGACTCAGCTTGGGCTGGCGATCGAAATTTTTAGCGAGATATTTTGCCTCTAATAAAAGTTATTTATTACAACTTTTCAGGATATCGGTCATATAATTGATGATATGGGAAAAATAATAATATACAGGTGAACATTTAATAAATATTTCTTTATCACTTGTTTAACTTTTCTCTATGAATTACAAAAATAAACACGTACGTTATAGTAGTACAATATTTGCTGTATACTAATAGTTTTATTTCTTCGTCAAAATGACGAAAAATTGATTTATCGTTTCAAACTATAACCTATTTCCGTCACCATGCATTATAGCGTTTTTTATTAAATCGGTAAATTAATTTGAAATCGCGCGTCAGTATGAAACGGTTTCTACCCGAACAAATATTTGATAAAAGATAACAACTTGCAATCATGGCAACATTGTCAACTATACAGCTTTTGATTTGTTATAATATTACGACAGCTCAGGTAGGATGTGGTTATCTCCTGGTTATCTTATATAAAATAGAGTGAGCAAGGCAAGGCCACAGTGATTCCGTCCAAACATCTGTAAGAATGAATCCTCGGATATACCTAACAGTTACATTAACTGCTGTCCGTAAGTCAATAGTTTTGATTTTTTTACTGTGGCTGCTAGTAAAAGAACAATGATTGAAGTAATAAAATCTAACTAAATATTCTAAAGATTTCGATAATTGGCGATGCAAATTCGCATGAAAGACTCTGTATAATTTCATTTGGATCCGATCAAACTGGATTATGATTTGTTTCAGGGGTACTCTGATTTCTAGATAGCTAAATTCTTATTTTGATCTTTTTTCTTTTTTATTTTTCATAGCAAAAAGGAAATACATTTGAAGCGATTAAACGGATAACTTGACATAGTTACGCAATATATTTACACTTAAAACATAATTATCTAGAATTAGTTATAACTGAAAGAACAAAATGCTTGTACATGTAGTCTTTAGAAATCACGAAAAGCTGGTTAGTTAAATCTAATTTCTTAATTTGTGTAACAAAATATCATTGCTATTAATAATTCTTCTTTAAGATTTCTTTTCATTCCAAATTTTTATCAGTAAAATTAAGACGATTAGGCAAAACGCGATGCCTCTTCTTTTTATTGTGCTTGTTCTTGATAATATAGATAGATAGATAGTTTTATTTCAATCATATTAGGCTTAAAAGCCCACGATGACATGATAACAGCATAATACTAGACAACGAACAGTGCATATACATATGAAATACATAACATAGCATGATGATAATATCGGAGAAGATCATAACGACAAACTCTTCAAGTATAAATACATTAATGTTGTGTTTAACTTACATAAATATGTATAGTTATCATTTGATATAAATGTAATCCAAAACATATTATATTTGATAAATGTTTAAAGTTTTAAACCTATGTGAAATTATATACATTCATCAAATAATAGGTTATATACATACATGTACTGAATATATCCACGATTCTTGCCACATTCTAAGACAAGAAACATAGAATATAATTGATGCATATTTAATTCGTTTGTAATGGTTATAACATAAATATATCGGCCTTACCGAAAAGAAATTGCAAGACTGATAATATGTTATAAATTAACAATCATGTTCAAAATGACTTATTGTCATTAATATGTTCGTTTTACATATATACGTTTATTTAAGATGAGATATTTCAACAAAATGAGCACATCGCATACAATGAAATAAATATGCATACTACACAATGTATTATTAACATTATTCATGTGTCATAGCTCTTTCGCCATAGAGACAAAAGAAAAGTTATAAAGTATCAAAAGACATTTACTTAACAGTATACTTAGACACTAAATTATATTAATGACTACATGAGATTGTTTCAACTAACGGTATTAACAAAAAAAATAATTATAATTTTAACAAATAATTAAATGATAGAATTTCTTAGTTTAAAAGCTTTTTCAACAAATATTCTTAGGTTTCTTATCACTTTTTTATCTTCTGAATTTAATAATTCTATAAATTTATACATATTTGGTCTGTTCCAAAACTTCTTGTGAATGTAAGTGTTTCTTAATTCTGTATATAATGAGCATTCAATAAAAAATGGTATTCGTCTTCAAGAGTATTGCAAATTGAACATTTTCTATCGTTTAAAGGTATTCTGGTTGGTTTTGCCCACCTACCAGCTTCTACTTGTAGTCTATGAGATGACACTCTCAGACGTGTTAATGACTGAACAAATTTATTTGCAGTAAAACAATCAAGATATGGTTGGTACCTTAAAGAAAGAAATATTTCTATAAAACAAAGCTCTACTAGAATTTGATAATCTTGAGTTCCAGTTCTGTATAAATTGTCATTTAATCTTTGTTTAACTAAGGACAAAAATATCTTATCATCACCTACACCTTGATATAACCATGCGTCAACAAAACCTAGTGAACATAACAAATCTTTTAACATTGAACACCAATTTTGCCTATTTTCATACTGTTCAAAATCATCCTTTAACAAAGAGTAAATAATGAAGACATACTTGTTTCTTCCCAAATGTAATATTTTTAACCAATATTTAATAATATTCGAAAAATGCACAGTTTTAAAGGATACCCGACCTAATTCCCCATAAATAAAGTCATTTTGTGTAGTCTTTTTAACACCCAAATTTTTTTTACAAAATTGCAAATGCACCCTTTCAATTGATAAATCATTGACAAAACCACATACTTCGCTGCAATAATTAAAATCGGAGATTACGAGTTTATCAAATAATTCTAATTTATGTTTTGGTTGTAAATAGATAAATTTGTGTAAATATTTATTGAGCTTAAATACTGTTTTTTAAGCTTGGCCTGCTATAATATTGAGGGCGGTACTTAATGAACCTCCACTTGTGTAAACAACACCTAAATAATAAAAGTTGTTCACAATCTGAATATACTGTTATAGTATAGAAATTCTAAATTTTCGTGGTAATGTTTCCCCCTTTTTTTAAAAAATCAATAATTTTTTGTTTTAGAGACATTCACCTTCATTTCCCACATCTCACAATAATTGTATAATAAATCAATACTTTTTTGGAGTTCTTCAGGTGAATTTGCGAATATAACAATATCGTCTGCGTATAGTAATAAAATATTTTAAAACATGTTTACATCTAAGCCAGTCATATTACCATGTATAAAACATCTTCAAGGTCATTTATGAACATAGAAAATAAGAAAAGGAGATAGACATTCTCCTTGTCTTACTCCTAATAAATATGAGTATTCCTCACTTAACATGTTACAATGCTTAACTCTTGATTTTACAGACTCATAAATCGATTTTACAATATCAAAAATCTTTCCTCGTAAACCTAGTTGTATCAATTTGTACCATGGCGCATGGTTTTTCTATTTTATGATGATAGTTTTTTTGTTAAATGATGCAAGGTCAATTTCCCCAAAAATTACGCGTGATATCAGATTTTGCTTGTTATCATCCGAGGCATTTTTATCATGTCATGATCCTTGACTCATTTCCGGTTTTGTTTTGGTGGTTTATCATAACTATATGCTTCTTAATATTTATTAAAATTTGCACTTTAGTTACTGTTTGATTGTCTTTTGATCGTTATATGTCAAATCCAGATCTATATGCTATCATACCTCGCTTAGGTATATGTCTATTGAAAAAAAATTAAGATTACAAATACAGCATACTATTGGATTGTCGTAGAATATTTTGTTCATATAGAAAATATAGCAGCAAAAGCACGTTCGTTACTGAATGCATATTTTAATAGACTGGTGCTTACGTTTCTTTTCTATTTAACAATTTCAAGCAAATGACTCGATTAGCTTAAAACAGAATTTGAACATCATACAGATTTTCGTTTTAACACTATCATTTAATTGCATAACTTTATAACAAGAACAGCACAGATAGATCTACATTGTAGTTTGTCAGATGAATAGATAAGACAATCAATAGGCAAGACAAAATACTATATTTGGACATGTGTATGTCGTATATAAATAACAAATACTATTGTGAGTGGCATGGTATCAAAGCATAATGAAAAGAGCAAATAATTGACATCATATAAAGGCGTATGAAATATCAGCGCAAGGTGTAATCAAACTGTACTTTATACTTTAAGATGTATAATAAATTCCAAGCTGATATACGTTATGCACAAAGTCTAAGGAATAATGGCGTCCCTTAGAGCAGTCAATTCTACTTTGAATATGAAAACGTTTTCGACAATTCTCAATGCTTGTGCTATCTAATTTCTTTCGAAATATTTTTCTGCTTTAACTTTTTAGACGCATCGGTAATTATGTGTAGAATATAATGATTTAAGTAGTCAATGCATGTTTTGTTTGTTTTGTCCTTTTTTCAACTTTTTGCTTTATTTTTCTTAATTTGTTATGTAAACACACCATGCCATGTCATGATATACCATATAAAATTATATGATAGTTTCTTATTGTAGTATATCTAGATAGAATTCAAAAGATTCAAAACATTTTAAACCTAAAGAGTATAATGTTGTGTCTTTTATACAGTGATAACAGCGTTGGTAGGAGCAGACAATAATACTACTAACGCTAATGTAACTACTCCAACAGTGACTGATTCTACAGTTGCTACTGGCAGTAAGTTTTTTTTATTTAGTTTTGTAAATGAATCTAAAAAACTGTTAAAATCTTAATTGAACATTGTCATTGAAATATCGACACAGTCGTTAAGTTATGGAAGTAATGGAAACATATCATCTTACAAATGAACATAATCTGCTGTGTTGTATATCATTTAATTTGTATCCTGTAACTTATTTTGCTTCTGGCGCAAATAGTGACGCATTTCTCACTGTAAAACTTAAATAAATTGATAAACTTATATGTCCGGCATATGTTTTTACATAAGTAGTTCTCATTCCATTAGCCTGAGCCATTTTCTCTAGATTCGAATATATGTTTGTCATATGATGCATAATACATATATTCAGACGCAGGACCGACAGCGGTTAAAGCTGGCCAGAGCACGACAAGCAAGGCAGCAACAGTGCAAACAACAACACCGAAGGTAAAACTCTTTTAAAAGAAGTAAAAAAGGTTAAAAAAATAATAAGATAAAAAAAAATAAAAATAAAATTAGACAAAACCATAATTAATGTTACAGTAATAGGTCAATACTTTTAGGTTAAATTCTGTGCCATTCACTAGGGACTAGTAAAATATCAGCCAGATGAATGGCATTATATGAAATATATTTACGAGGCGCTTTAACATTCATTTCTAAAAATCAAAGCTTACACTGGTCATGATATCCTCTAAGAAATTAAAACGATATTTTTATCTTAAAACATGATGGGACATTTATGTACAAAATATTTTAAGTGTTCTATTACAATATAACGTGATGAAAGATCAGTTAACATTTTTACTGACGTTTTACAGACAATTTTGAATCATTTGTATTTATAAAACAATAAACAATTCCACTTTTTTTAAAACCATTACGTATTGCTGTTTAAAAATGCCACAATTACGTTTGATTTATTGAAGTGTGCAGTAACAAGAAATATAGGTTTGTAAGTTTAAACGTGATGACTTAAAGTATTCACAGTACTCATACATATTCAATACACACATATCGGATTCAAATAGTCAACAATGTACGTACTTTTTCCGGTCTAGAATATCATGATATTTATATCGTATTACAAGTATTATTACTTTAACGACACAGGAGTGTTATGATCATAGAATTTACAAACTAATATAATTGTAATAAATAAGAGCTAGTCCTAAAATTTGTTTAAGAAAGTGTTTTTCAAGTAATTCTGAGAAAAGAAATAGATGTTGAACATTCTAATTTGACAATTAAATTGTTGAAATAATGAATTCAGATATTATGATAATTTATTTTCTTTGCAAGCCAATTACCTGCTCGACAGGAACGTGTAATGCCAACGAAACTTGCATCAACTCTACAGGTTTTACAGGTACAACTAAAACATGTGCAGCTGGTGAGAGTTGTGCTGTAAGTAATCATATCTTATTATAATGTTATATATTACATGTCTTAAAACGGGAGAGTAATGAAAACAGCTATAAATGCGAATTTCAACTTTTTTTATTGAATAGACACGTCTTGTATAATTATGCCACATGTTAAAATCAAACTTGTTGCATGAACATGTATGCTATATATATATATATGATTCTTAAGTCAAGTAAATTTCGCAGATGATAATTTCACAAGTTAAATTAAGCGTTTGTGTATTTTGCTATGGTTATTCCTTCGAAATAGAAAATAAGCCTTATTCATTTCAAACTTTACATTCTTTACAGAATAGTCAAAAAATAAGTATTCTTTGATGTCTTATTATAATAATCCAAATGTTACATCATTATCACAAGTTATCAATATCCGCAGGTAAATGAAACCAAGGGCAACACAACAAACACGTATGACGTATCCTGCTTATCAGCAACCGCTTGTCAAACCATTACAAAAGCAGGCACTGGAGCTTGTTGTAACACAAATAACTGTAAACCAGACTTGAAGGCCGCTCAAGCAAAGGCTCGTGGTGGTGGTGGTGGTGGTGGGGGAAGTGATTATCTAAGGATTAATGTGAATGCTTTCGTTTGTGTAGCTTTCATAGCATTGAAAAACATCTATGGATACGTTTAAACTTTAGTTGTAGGACATGTATGAAGATAATAAGTTAAATATTTTTAAGACGCTTTACTTTTGTTTTACTTATACATTTCTTGATCTAAAAAACAGAAATGCAAGATAATTGAGGGTCTTATGAAACTGATTTTTGCAGATGAACGGACCTTATGACATTTACATGCATTACATGACTTACTGTTACTCTAAATATCTTGTTGATGCTTTGATAATCTTTGCTACATTTATCTCCTCCAATTTGAAAACATTTTCAATTTTTCAACTAAGAATAAAGAATTTTATAGATTTTTAATAGTTATCTTCAATTACTTGTGTTTGCCAAAATACTTATATACAGTACCCCTACGATATTATTCATTTGACACATGTCTCTGATATTTAGGCTTCATTACATCGTATCCCCTTAAAAATGTATTTGATTTGGTTCCGTCTATTGTCTCGTTTAAGGCACTCGCATTCTTTTACTTGTGGACCATTAACCGTTTTCGCTAAATAGCACATGCCTGTTGCATTGAAGGTTTTATGATCATCGCCATATGAGCACATCTGCAGATATTTCTGAATTTTAAATTTCACCATTATCATACGTAAATGTTGAATTATACTCAACCTGGTGCGAATCGCACTTACCACTACTGTCCATGAACAGGTTCAGACCGAGTCTGCAACATTTTCAATTTTGCCGTCTTGGGTGTTCAGGGATTCAATTCTGTACTGTACAGTTTTTGTTTTTAAATATAAATGTGTACCGATTTGACAAAGAACGGATCATAATGTTGAACAAATATGAAAATTATGCTTTGGAAGCATATTGTGACTTCTATAAGTATATAGAATTTTCTTTAATGTAATAACACCAGCAAATAACATTATGAATTGTGTCTCACTTATATTGATAGCAAATGGACCAGAAGTATTTGTTGTTTGAACAATCACGTTAAGCCATCCTTTCAAAGAGTGAATGTTGATCTGACGCATTATAAAATATATGTACTGTGAACTACCACACTAAGACATTTAATCATTTGTCTGTAGGTAAGCAATGGCCTAGTGGTTAAGGTGTCTGCCTCTCAACCCAGGGATCATGGGTTTGAGCACAACTATGTTTCTTCATATGACACCAGTACTGGTTGGATCCAGGAATCGGACTGGAAAGTGATTAATATAAGTTGCAAGAACAAGTTTCGCAATCGGGCTTAAATTGATATGTTTAAACCAACATCATATTTGATATTAAAAATAGATTGAAAAAGAGTCCGGTTTTTAAATGCAGCTTTTCAGAATCTGTTTAAGATTTTCTTACGCGCAGTATGAGCTCCTGTGTACAAATATGTAGTCAAACCATACACTTAAGTATATTAAGCACTAAAATTTATTTTTCTTTGTTATTTTACTGTGTAGGTCATCACTTATAATTAAGATAAAAGTAAAACATAATGAAACCAAATTTATTTTAAAACATTTATTGCTATTCATATCATTCCAGGATGGTTCTATGATTTAAGCTAAATTGTTCATTCCCTTGACATTTTCTGACTTCAATTTTGAGAGTGTTTTCTTAAAGCCCTTCTTTATTTCATTCTCTTTCTTTTTGTTAAGCAATTTGTTTTTCTGTTGAAATTTGTCTAGTTTAGCTCTAGATGCGACGACTTGGAACCATTCAGTACTTCCGGTTACAGAAGACACACCGCTGAAGATACTCTTGTGGTCACAGTTGTATGTGATTTTATACATTCCCGGCTTTTGACCTACTGGTATATCCCACAATATTGTAATTGTACTTTCACCTATTCCATGGCTCTCCCAGTGAAATCTGAAACAAATCATGGTTATATACATATATATATGTTAGCGATTTTCTGTGAGGGTAAAATAATTGTCTACTATTCAGTTTAATGTTGCGCATGTATACAAAATGGTGTTTTGAATTTAACAGACTACACTGATGATGAACGTAGTTCTGCAGATTCTATATCCATAAGTTCAAATGATAACCACGTGTATAATGAAAACAGCTAATCAAAAAAATATATAATGGGTTAAGTTGTGAGGACTTTTTCCAGTAAAAGACTACTATGTTTTTAATGAATTTGAGAATGCTGTATTTGGATAAATGACGTTTAATGTTTCATTACCACAATCCTAATGTAAATACTTTGAAATTACATAGTCACAATGTTAGAAAGGGAATCGAACGAAATCACGAGACCTATAACATGACTGGTTTAGTGAGAAGCATATTTATGTTACTATAGCATGTTGCAAAACTGTCTATATATTCATGAATAAAATTAAGACTAATGATTTAAAACATACTGAGTTTCCCAGTTGGCGTCCGTGTAGACTACAGTGTTAGCACCGCTTTGCTCTTGAAATTCTACTGTTAGAAATGTAGATTCCAACTGCAAAAATTATAATAGTTCATAAAATTACAGGCATGATAGTGGCGGCATGGCCTAATGGTTTACGTGTCGGATTAGCAATCTATGTATCGCTATTGAAGTGGGTTCAAACCCCGTCAGGAAAAAGCCGTTTTTCCCATGACCAGGGCACTTTAAACTCTTTGCTTCTTACTGGTTGGTTCCAGTATGTCTTAAAGCTATTAACTTCCTTCATAAAAACAAATCTGTATAAACCAATAATATGATAGCTTTTAACCGTTATTATGCTTAATATACATAATTATGATTAGCTTTTTTGTCTTACTAGTACTGCGCCAACGTTAAGATAGTCCTTAATTGAAAGCATTTTAATCACTAGATAGTAAAACACAATCATTATATCGTATACATATATAAAGATCAAACTATCATTACATGTCTAGCTCGGAAATATACCATGTTTAAGGCCCATTTATTATATCCCAAATACTTACTCTTCTGTTATTTCTTGGATTTGCACCAACAAACTTGACAGTAACACGTTCTCCCTTAAAACAGAAGATAGTTAAATACATTAATACATGAATATTATGTAATATCATCAGCAGGAAAATAAACTTTTGTCATATGACACATCATGTTTTGAGGAAAGCGTCGCGTAGACTACAATTAGTTCTTACAGGTTCATATAATTAATAGGAAATTAATCTTTTCATCTTATCAAATGTTTTTCTTCCGTTTTCCTAGATCTTAGCTAAAACTGCGAACATTACAGTCATATATATGAAACACAAATTTTAATCACCAATTCAATTAGAACAATCAGTATATTTAATATAGATAAAACAACTAACTCTGGTATGACAGGTACCCGGAGAATATCATAATACTTACAACTTTATATTGTTTGTTTGGTTGCTGTTTGACGTCAGCAAAGTTGTTTCCAAACCCAGCTGCATCAAACACGACTGGAGGTAGGAAGGACAGTTGTTCAGACATTAGATCAGGTGGGTTGGGGCCTGGCGTCACAGGACTACCCTAATGTCAATATCAATACACAAACAAAATTATAACAAAGGATGTCAATAGATATAATAAATGCAAAACATCATGAAGTGTTTATAACCTACTAACTACTTAACATAATTCGTAAATTTTATCTGTTGTATTGAAGTTATATTAAAAGTCATTGAAATTTTTGGTTAGGTTTTACGTCGCACCGACACATTAGTGATCATATGAAGACTTTCCTGCTTTACTGGTACAGGAAGACTTCAGCTGCCCTTCCGTGCACCATTCCAGGTATGAGCAAGCACATGAGTATAACCACCAACGTTCGTAAGCCATCTGGATAGCTTCCTCTTGAGAAAGAATCCAAAGTTCCTGGCGGGATTCGAGGGACAAGAAGTCTAATGGAATTGCCTAATTGAGTTCATGGTAATGTATTAAGTTACAATAAGAATAAAACAAATGAAGAATAATAACTTTTTATAATAAATTCATCACAAACAAATTCATAAACAATACCATTAACACATTTTCAAGATTTGTGTTTAAAGTAACAACCTCGCACTCCGAAATTAATTTGTTCTTGTAACGTATCTAAAACTTACCGTGGTCATCGCCTTGGACAAATTCATGTATACGTTAATGTAAGCCTCCAGTGTATGAGGACCATAAATTGTTGAACCGCCTTCGTAACGTTGTTCCTAAGTAACCAAAAACAAATCGTCGGGTTAATTCTACAACCCCGTAACTCGATTTTTGGCAAAATTGAGATTTTTATATCATTTTTTTCGTCTCAATGAGCTCTTCACAGTGAACATACTTATGTAGTTGTAGAACTAACATAAAAATGTTTATTTCCAATTCCACAAACCCGTAACTCGCTATTTACATCAAACTTTAATTCTAGACCCAAGTAACTTCTCGTCCAATCAAGCATTCTGATTTTGTACCACGTGATACATGACACATCTGTAATGGCTGCCTACTTATCACAGCCAAATATTTGAAAAACTTTTAGTGATTTATTTAAAGATAATTATAGTAATTTTTACCTGAATGTAATATACATATATTGATGATTTAGTTTTTATAGCTCTTACATCATTTTGAATTAATAGTAAATGTATTGAATAGATACATATGTAAATACTACATTTATTCGGATGAAAACCATTTCGGACGGCCTCGATAAGTACTATTTTTGTTAATTTCCCTAAAGCTTCTTATTTTCAAGTTTTTACACTTTTTGAAAGGGTACTCATTAGCTATATAGCTGAACCCATTTTTACATTTGCATTTTGATCATCCATCAAAGTTATAGTTATTAGATGTTCTTGAATGGAAGACAAAATACCACTTTGTTTAAATCTAGATGCTATCAGGACAAATTGTTTCAGATTCAACGCTGTTTTCTGAAGCACGAAAAGCATCTACTTAATGTACACTCTAAATCAAAAATTGAAACATAATAGCAACATAGGTATGTGACAGAAACGCATCGTCGAATACCCACGGTTGATAAACATGTAACATAACAAGTGCATACTTTTGAAAAATTAATGTAGATTTCATTTGATAGTAGCATTGATTTTCAAACAGACGTGTAATATTTTACACAGTAGGAGAAGTTAATGATATTTTTTACTTGAATTTTTGCTATGTTTCTAGCCGAAAATTATTACACTTAGTCAATTTGTTTCAATTAGAACCCCGTATGTCGCTTTTATAGTGTAGAAATGACCTGAATGTTTTGTCAACAACCACGTATCTCTCGAATGGGGTTTTAGAATTCAGAATTTGTATGTATTTTCTTATTTATTATGAAAAATTGAAATTAATTATTTGATATTTTAGCTTTAAAATTGTATGCACAGAAATGAAATTTGGTACATATGTACAACATACAGATTTCTAAATTCACTGAAAATTTTATCTTTATACGGTTTATCATTAAAAAGTTATAACAGTTCAAACTTTCAAATGCGATTTTCTAAAAATGACAAAAATGACATACGGGTTTGTAGTATTAAGCCAACGAAATGAATGAGACAAACAAAAATTGAGATTATCGGTATATTGTGCTTAAATAGTGTTAAATGCATTGGTAGAATAGCAAACATGGATAGCGCACATTAACAAACACCTATAATTAAAATAATCTCAAAATCAAACCATTAAAATGACTGGTGTTTTATTACACACAAGTTATTTATATTTTATTACTGTAAAGATATGTTCGTTTTCCTAGAATGAAAAGAAAGAAATGTGTTTTTTGTTCTGGAAATAATAACTGGAATAGAACTAATAGGTACGATTGCAGAAAGAATCGCCAAAAAAGCAGACGATAATACCTGATATTCCTCAAATGTTGTAACGTAGTCAGCATAATCATTTGATAATCCGGCAACGATTGGTACAGGTTCACCTTTAAACCCGTTATCTTTTAAAGTCTGAAACACAAAAAACAATACATAAACTGGTGTAATTATGTTTGACATGTTTTGTAATTCTATAGAGATTTTTTTTTGTTTGTTTTGGGTTTTACGTCACATCGACACAGTATAGGTCATATCGCGACGTTCCAGCTTTACTGGTGGAGGAAGACCTCAGGTGCCCTTCCGTGCATTATTTCAGGCACGAACGGGCACCTGAGTAGAACCACCGACGTTCCGTAAGCTAGCTGGATAGCTTCCTCACATGAAAGAATCCAAAGTCTCTGTCGGGATTCGAACCCACAGCGGTGAGGGGCAAGTGGTTCGAAGTCAACGTCCTTAACCACTCGGCCACGGAGGCCCCTCTATAGAGATAAAAGTCATATTAATGGTAATTTGAGCCGGGCCATGTCAAAACCAATATAAAGCGTTTGCGCCCAGCATGGATCCAGACCAGCCTGCGCATCAGCGCAGTCTGATCAGGATCCATGCTGTTCGCTTACCTATTACAAGTAGAGAAACTGATAGCGAACAGCATGGATCCTGATCAGACTCAGACTGTGCGGATGCGCAGACTGGTCTGGATCCATGCTGGCCGTCAATGCACTAAGTTGCTTTTGTCAAGACGCGGCTCATTTACTTTCATCTCGATCAGTTCTTGAAAATAAATGCAAGTTACCATAGTAATATGAAATATTCAAAAATATGAGTTTACCTTGGCAACAGCATCCCTGGTTCTCCTTCCAGACATTGTCCTGCAAATATTTGATTAACATAACGTTATATTTACTTAGATTATAACTACAACTCATTTAAGTGTGTGTATTGCCGTTACTTTTTTGAAAAATTCATTTTAGTCTCTTATTGAAAAATCATCTTCATCATAACTATATACATCAAATACATCAAACGCGATTAATTTTTTGAATATAAAGCGTATAAATTAAATCAATATGTATTTCATCACCTTTTGAGTCAGTAATTTTTAAGGCATATACATTTGTTATTGTGACAGATCAGGGTGTTCAGAGCCAAGTGGTTAATGCTGGTTATTTCAAACCGTTCGCTCATATGGCAGTTTTCTTTTTAATTGCAATACATGACTAGACTTTTTTATAATGTGTTATATCTACTGGAACACCAGATAATAAAGATATCAAAATATAGATAATAGATCTCTTTGTTATAAAACATACGTGAATTCTGCAGGGACAGCTATAAGGAAGAGTTGACCAACTCGGAATATCTGTGTATCTACGATAGATGGCTCCCACGCATAGGGAAACTCAATCTACAAAATAATAAATAAATAAATAAATAAATAAATAAATAAATAAATAAATAAATAAATAAATAAATAAATAAATAAATAAATAAATAAATAAATAAATAAATAAATAAATAAATAAATAAATAAATAAATAAATTAATTAATTAATTAATTAATTAATTAATTAATAAAATAAAAATAAAAACAACAATATTCCACACTCTCCTTTTAACTATTTAGATCTGTTATAGATATCACATGAACCTTGATATACATGTATAGCACAAAAGTAAAATAATACACCACGTATTGTTTTCCATTTTTTAAATTTTCATAATCATTTCAAATTTATTTTTTTCATTTTTTTTCGGACTACTATGCGAATAAATTCAGTGAAACTTATCGCTGCATTAAAATATTGAAACTTAAAATCACTTTATTTATTGTTACATGGATTATGATGATTGTTATTATTATTTTAGTTATCAGCAGACGACAATTAGTTACCTCCCCTGTATCGAGCAGAATAGGTTTAGGTGCATGACATTTGTTTTGTTCCTCTGACGGTTTCTTGATGAAGCCACTGACAGCGTTCCAAAATGGTGACGAGGAATTACTTCCTGGTATTGAGACAAAATAATAATATTACTATGTTTGCAATATGAGTTACATGATCCATGGCGTTGTAAATTATGGACAAAATACATATGTCATTAAAGTAGCGTTATTACAAAAGTATCCAAGTTCTGGAGTTGTCTATACGAAAACATAAATGATAACATTATAAAATGTAATCTTACTGAAAGCAGAGATAAGAATAAAAAAAAACATCCCATTTTAAGTGCTTTAAAAATGCTACCTTGTGTAAAATCGAATGCACCAGGGCCATCGGTGGTTCCGGCGGCGAAACTATACCCCATAGCTGGCTTACATGTCTTCTTACCCTGTACAAAACCATGGTAACGCAAAATTTTATCAGTTTCTCCTTATATATGCATTTATTAAAGTTTCAAAACATCAAATTATTAATGAAGATATAGGCAAATAATTACCTTATCACTCTTGAAAGGTCCCAGAATCATTAATTACAAGACGAAAGTATAGTCTAACTTGAAAGTTTATATTTCACCTATGAATAAAAAGTATTATGTTAATGCTATAATGCATAATTGTATATCCTTTATATCAACAAGTTCAAGGATGATTTTAAAACTTGTGGAAAATACAATACTAATGTTATCACCTCTCCCACAGTTTGTTTTGACATGTCAGTATATGTATGTCTGAAGTCAACAGGGCCTTGTACAAGTGTGGATGCTGTATCAAACAATTTCTGCAAATCAAAGAAAAAAAACAAAACAAAAACGAATTGAACAAAATTAATTACTTCACTTTTAATCAAAATTACAATTCTAACATATAAAAAGCATAACTACAGACTTTTAATATGTTTGCTGTTAAAACTGAAATGAGCAAATTATCGGCAACATACATGTGTAAAATTAGTTACATACGCCCTTTATAATGAATTAATAATACAGCCAATTAGATATCTTAAATGATATCCTGATTTGTTAATATAGGGTTTTTGCCAAGTTAAAGCTTCACGGTGTACAACCGGTCAACCGTGTGCGCTTGTTAACGAAGTTCTAACTGTAAAAAGTATGTTTGTACCACCAGCTGTGTTGGACCAACCCAAAATATCCATAATTCCTTAGTGGATTTATCTATAAATTTGTGTATGGAGATGATGTTAACGAATCAATGACATTATTGTCACGTGCAGTAATATAAACGTTTTCGAATATATTAAACAGGAGATGGACACAGCGTTCATTTTTACCTTTGCTTGTATATACTGTCTCCTGGCTATAATCTCTGTGCTCTCAAACATATCATTACCAGGTCCAAATGCCACACATAATTCGTTCTATAATCAAATTATACATTATCTAGAATCATGAAATTTAGTAAAATCTTTTATAACGATAAAATTATAATTAAATATGGCCTTTCATATACATGTATTCAAACATGCTGAGATCACAAAATTGACTGGTATACTAGTCTAGCATTTTCCTAACTAAATTATTAAAGCCAATTCTTCACTTTATATGAACCAGTCCGTGATAAAAAGGAGAAAATGTATAAATGGACGTAAGGTTCAATCCTTCTTTTTAAATTTTGTGTTAAAAGTTAACTTAAATATGTTAGTTTTCATAGATGTTATATTTCATAGAAATGTCTTTTATTAATCGTTACCTTGCCATTGCACGTGCTATGGTTAAAGTCACATGGTAGTCCTGTGTCGAGACAATGGGGACCTTTTGTATTCGGAGATACATCACCCTCGTTACTCTGGGCAAAGGCAGCAACAAAAGCTCCCTTTAAAACGGAAAAGACAAGAAACGTTTACATTCACAATTTTTCTTTAAATATTCTGCTTTATGAAATCCAAAGAAAACAGGCTTTAATTGTAAGTTACTTGTTACTACCTACGTTTTATGACAAATTCACTGTTAAGTTTAAATATTCTATTGTATAATTGTATACGATATATTAAGACTTGTTAACATCATTATATGTTTAGCAGAATTATAATGTACAACACATACACAATTCTTAAAATTTAATCTCTGCTATAAAAAGCATGTGTGTGGGGGTGGGGAAAATTCGACAACCTACTTTCCCAGGTAGAACAGTTTGTCCGTTTCTGTCAGCCTCTAACATGAGGGCGGCCAGTCCTTTATTGTCACTACTGATAAGTCTGTTTGTATTGTTCATACTTGTACAGTGCACGGCAAACCAACTGTATAATAATAGATGATTTACCGTTATAGCGTTTAAACTTTGGTACAACTATACGAGTAAGTTACATTCTTGAAATAACGTTTTATTATGATTACTTAATTTTTTATTATTATTATTATTATTATTATTGTTATTATTATGCAATCTGTAAAAAAATCCTGTATAAACACTAGATAGGCATAATAATATATAACCTATGCAATTTTGTTGATTTAAAAAATAAACAAGAGCTGTCGGTAGGACAGCACGCTCGACTATTCTAAGTGCTTGATAGTAAAAGAGCCTTGATAATGTTAATTTTTTTAAGTTCACAAAAGGGCTAATTTTTTTTTATAAATTCATGTTATAGGCCTTAGAGAGAGTCTAATTATACAGTATTGGCTTGACTATTCGGAAGGTAATGTCACGAGGGTGTTTTATTGAGTATAATAATACTAATTACCTATGAATACATAAATTTGACAGAAAAGGTACAAAGGCTTGTTATTAAGATGTTTTATCAAGTAAATAACTGCTTTATTATTATGAATGCATAAAATTGTCCCAAAAAAGGCACAAACCCTTCAGTAGTTATTGAGATAACAGCTTACAAGCAAAACTTTACCATGAATTTCTAAGTTGAAAAAGGGGAGAAAAATCAGCCTAAATGCAAGATAGAATTATGGATCTTTGTCAGTGACCTACAATTATGACCCTTAATGCATATGTGAAGTTTTAAATAAATATCTTTAATAGTTATCGAGATATGTAAAACTTGCATGTAAACATTAATCAAGAGACTAAGTAGAAAAGGGGATATGAATCAGACTTTACAAAAAACTTTAACCAACGCAGACGCCGACGACGCTGACGCCGACGCCGACGCCGGGGCGACTACAATAGCTCTCATATTCTTCGAATAGTCGAGCTAATAATATACTGAATCATAATGTCAATCTATAAATTATCTTTTTTTACAATGCTGCTTGTAGTTAGCAGCTTAGACCGACTACGTTCAAAACTGAAATTTAATCATTCCAAAATATCTGCACAATTTCATTTTTCTATAATTAGCATTAACAAGATAAAGAAACCAAGATAAAGAAACTAGTGAACTCAGACTCTGGGATAGTAGTTGTAAAATTAACAGTGGTTAAATATATCGAAATAAGTATCTTACCTTATCATACCTATAGGAAAATTATCAGCATCTACAATCTTGATGACAGTCATGTTCTTGTCAACGTTATATTTGTATCTATAATGTAATATACATGCTATACTTATAACTGCCATATAGATTTAATAACATTTTGATAATATACTCAAAACCTGTCTTCAACACCCAATTCAAGGTTAAAGGTAAAGGTTGTCTTTGTAGTTGACAAGTAGTGAATAGAAAATGTGTTGGTTTTGCATTAAAACTGTTAAAAGGTTTAAGTACGAGGTTGGTGTTACGTTTCTATGATAAAGAGGTACCGTATTACATATATATCTGCTGTGGGCATTCTTGATAAAATCTTGTCCGCTCTCTGATAACTTTTGATAAGTAATTGCATTACTGATACTAATATTCGTCTATACCCTTGGCTGGAATATTCGTTCAAGTTGGCACGTCCGCGATCAATGCAATTTATTACATGCTTTTCAATGGTTTATAGAAATATATCAGTGAATTAAAACTGGTAATTTTACTGTTTGAAACAGTGAAATTATCAATTTGATAATTTCACTGTTTTGAATTTAAGCCCCTTACGTTGTTTCAGTGAAATACCAGCGTACACAGAACTGGAAACCAACTTAATAAAGTGACGTCGTAAATGACGTCACGTTGTATAATTATTTGGCGCGCTATTCATTTAGTATTAGGTAAAAATGTCCTTTTTAACGTTTGTTTGCATATAATAAAAAGAAAATTTGTTTAGTTTAGTGTAAGATCGAAATATATTTCACCTCGTGAACACCAAAAGTTCACATTTCACTCGTGGCTGCGCCACTCGTGAAATATACCTTTTGGTGCTCACTCGGTGAAATATATTCCGATCTTACACTGAACTTAACAAATATCCTCTATATATCCGTTATTTTTATACGTAACTTGTCCTTCTTTCGCTTATAAAAACATTTTCATTGGAAGAAGTTGAATTCTGGTTGTGGGGACATATAATATTAAGAAAGATATCTGTAACATTTATGTTACTGGAACACTGTAATATTAACTGACCTTAAGGCTATTCAAATTTTATTCATGATCAATCCAGCCTTTAAAAACATTTGGCCTTCCAGGTTTTACTTTCATTTTCATTCAAAATTATAGCTGAAAAAAAATCTCGGTAAACCAGAAATGAAGACCACAAAATAAAATTGTATACAATGAAAATATTAAATATGATAAAATGTAATACAAAGTAGCATGTTGCGACATACTTGGCGCGTTCCTCTGGTGGATTTTTAAGGTAGGCAGACGGACTTCTGTTGATGTTACTCTCTAATAGTTCACCGGTGTTGACATAAATATTGGCTGGTTTCATGTTATCATGTGCTCTGTCTACACTCTGTTAGATATGTTAATTGATAATTCGTTAGAAATCATATTACATTTATTTAATAAACAAAACGAAGAAAAAAAGTATTTTTTTAAGTCATTAAGAGAGAAAAAATACGTCAAATATCAAACACAATTATGTTAAAAGTCAAGCTATTTAGAGTCATTAAAACAGGTTGAAATGAAATATCTTCCCAGTTAATTAATGAAAACGAATAATTGAACAATTTTAGGAATTTACCTTATTTTTTCGTGTGTTAAGCTGCTAGCAGGAAGTATTTACGGAAAATGATTAATCGACTATTACGGAAATGCTCATTTTTTAGCAATATAATTTGCATTTATATAGTTAGTTAAATCGTTCATTTATACTTCTTTTTGTTATTCTAAAGTTAGAAAATGAAGTTAATAAAAACTATAAGAAATTAACGTTATACCCGTAATATGCCTTCCACCAAGGAATCGAACGTTTCCCTCACAAATCCAAGTGACGTGATGTCATATAAAAGGTACTGATGAAACCCCCCTGGTGTGGAGTGTGTGTGGGTACCGGTTATTAACACATTACGTTCAGTGTAAGCATCTCCATATTTATTCTTCAGTTGTCGAACAATCTAAAAACATTACAAAATGAAAAAGACAATGAAAAACTATGAAATGTGTGTTTTAAAGTACAAGTTACCATACTTAGAATGTAAGTAAAGTTGAAAACTGGAGAAAAGACCAATTTTGTTATATTGTGAAACCTTGCAATCAAAACTGTACACCATACAATACAAAGCATGGATTACCGAATGCGTATGCGCATGTTCACTCTTTTTAAACATATATGTACAAGATGAGCCAACAAAGTAGTTATATCGAACTAGGGTTATATTTATGTCATTAAAACAATAACTGATATACTGAAAATTGTCGATGAGTATACCTCTAGTTTGAGGCCCTGAGAAAACATGCAAGCGTCTAGATTAATGTAAACAACTTTGTTCTTCATTTGATCTTCAAAGATGAATGTTCTACTGAACTGACGGAGATGTAACCCACGTGAAGTCTGTGCAGGATTTGCATATCCCATCTGTAAATATAGATAAAATAACACTATAATATACAACATGCAGAGGCTATATGAGTTGTGTCATGTACGGCTTTTTGTTCCGAAGTTTTATTAATGTATCACTACTAATTTTTAGACTACAAAAAATAGTATTTAGATTATTCTTTAACTTATTGGAGCATTATTCTAATTATTTGTGTTAACCTTTAGTGTATTTTTTTTCAATTTTCGTGTGAATGGAAGAGTTAAAACACGTAGTTTTTGCTTGTGTGCTTTTAGGCGGGTGAAATAGGTATATGGCATTTATTAGCCACCATAGTTCAGGGTGTAATCGATATAGCATTTAACACGTTATAGTTATTGACAATATCGAAAAATCCCCGATTATGAAGTACAATGTACTGAATAGAAAAACTTCCGTGTCACAACAATAGAAACTACACATGTATTTAACTGTGAAATGAGGTTCATTTTGCGCCGGGTACATTTCTACTCGATAGGTCTATAAACTTACAAGGTCTCCATGTTGTATAACAATATGTATGGGAAGTATGTGATGATTTGATTTCAACATTTCTGTGTTGTCATGCTGGTGAGTTCGAATCAAGTTCATATTGATTAAAGGGAACTTACACGTACCCACAAAAGGTTATACCATATTATGAAATAGCAAAACCGTTAAACCGATGTGTGAAAATTAACTCTTTCTGTATAATAATGATCTTACTCGTTTAGAAGATACAGGTGCCTATAATATAAGTCATTTGTTCGATTCATAACAGAACATAAAAACATATAAGATTTCCATCGAAAATATTTCAAACTGGACTTGTTGAATACACTCAAGGGAGTATATGAATACTCAAAATTCAAGATAATGAAACGGGTGTTATAATGACCAAAAGGTACACATTTTAATAAACCCAGTTATATTAAATTGTTTAAAACTCTTTACACAATATTTTATCAACTTTAATTCACCAATATCATAACAAACACTTGACATTAACCAGATAAAATGTTAAACGTGTTAGTAATATCACTCTATCGTACGATAGATAGTATTATGAAAGTTTAAAAGGAAATATAAGGTTTATAGAAATCGATCTTACCATGTTGACCTCGGCAGCCGGGCCAGTTATATCGGCAATACCTATCCCAACATTATATTCTGTTGGAATGCCATTTGTTAAAGAAACAATGACAGACAAATATACAATTAGAAAACTTGATACCACATCCATCATAATACCAAAAGCACGTGATATTTGATGTTATCACGTGAGTTTATTGTTCATGAACAAATACTAGTATACGGTACACGGAGTATTTAATCCGTCTGGTCCGGGTTCGGCCCAGTGAATTTTCGCTTTCTTTATTCTACAGTAAATCTGTCACATATGGAATGCCGGTAGGGACATGCCAATTTGCTTATTTGCCAATTGCTGAATTGCTTATTTGCTAATTGCCGATTTGCTTATTTGCCAATGGCTGATAGGCTTAATGACAAATTTGCTTATTTGCCAATTGCTGAATTGCTAATTTGCTTATTTGTTAACCGCTGGTTTACGTATTTGCTTATTTGCCTATTGCTAATTTGCTTTCTTGCAATAGAAAAAGTTTACACTGTGCCGGAAGTATATGGAACATCTGACTACAGACAACCAGTTGAGTCAGATCTGTTAACTTTTACCAACAGTATTCTTGTAAATTCAGTGTTTTTCCAAGAATACTGTTGGTCAATGAATTTAGTTGCAGATATATGTCTACAACTGATGGCTGACATGTCCTTGAGAACACAGACGCTTGGGGTCAGATCCCGTACCCCAACGTGATACGTGCCCCTGTAAACACTCTATTTAAAATATTTTGATATCTAAACACGAATTGGACATCGTTAAAACTGGTTTTCAAGCAATTTTTACATATACCGGTATAAAAAAATACCATATACCACCAAGTCTCAATAAAGTACTTAATGGTTTTATCGTTGTAACAAATGTCCAATTTGTATTTAAATAAATATTAAAATAGTTTTGATATAGTGTTTACAGACGCGTATCACGTTAGGGGCAGGATCTGACCCGCCAGCATCTGTGCTTGAGAATGTCTTATAATGTGTTGCAGCTATAGATCTGTTTGTGCAGCTTAAGTCAGAGATTGGTGGCATAATAAACACTTGATTAGTCATATATAAGTGAAAAATATTGGTTAAAGATTGAAAATAAAAGAACTTGAAAACAAAACTATTTATTATTTTATGGCATATAAAATGTCCTTATTCTCAGCAGATTTGTCACAGAGGGCCTCATTTTAGTGGTACGAACACATAGTATCACAAATGATACACTTAGTGCATGCTTAACACGGGTGTTTGTCTTTGCACTTAAGCAATAGGCTTCGTTTTTAGCTCTGTAAGATTTTGAGATCACTTATGTCAGTGTGTGCATCAACATTTTGCTTTGGTTCAATGGTTTTGAAATTTGGTCACACTTTTCCATTTTTTCATATTGTACATTTTACTTGCTATCAGGTGACCATGACCATGATCATGACCTAGGGTATAATGGACAAAGCCTCTTTGAATATTGTGTATGCATGCTGCCTATTTAACGCTTATGTGAAGTAACAGTTAGATATACGCAATAGTAACAGAGATATGACAGAAAAACAAAGGTTTCTCAGTACAATACATTGGTGACCTTGACATTCAGTATATAACGGGCACAGCTTCTTCATGTACTTTGTATGCATGCTTGTAACGCAAAGTTTATGCAAAGTTGCAGTAAGATGCATGAATCAGCAAAAGTAACAGAGATATGACAGAAAAACAAGTTACTAAGAATAGCATCCCTATTCTCTGAATAGTGGAGCTAAAACGGAAACTCAAGATAATTAAAAAAAAACAACTACTTTCTGAAACTGAATTTATTTTTTTCGAAATTGATTAAAATGTATCCATCTGTCTTTCTACCTATAGTCTAGGTAATGATGGATTGATCATAATTGTCACAAGTTATAATTAACAAAACCTTATAAACATAATATTAACATGATATAGGTTCATGAGCTTGAAATAAAGTCTACAAAGACTTGTTATTTTATATCAAACAAGAACTTAGCGAGTCGGACGTGTCGCCTGACAATAGCATAAAAAATTATGTATACATGTATAAGCAAATAAGCAATTAGCAAATAAGCAAATTGGCAAATAAGCAAATTGGCAAATAAGCAAATTGGCAAATCAGCAATTAGCAAATAAGCAATTAAGTAGTTGGCAAATAAGCAAAGTGGCATGTCCCTACCGGCATTCCATAGTCACATGTAGGGTTTTATTCTAGACTATACTTAACTCAGCAGAAATCTTTATTCTAAAACTTTAACGCTAGTATGGAATGCCGGTAGGGACATGCCACTTTGCTTATTTGCCAACAACTGAATTGCTTATTTGCTAATTGCTGATTTGCCATTTTGGTTATTTGCTAATTGCTGATTTGCCAATTTGCTTATTTGCTAATTGCTGATTTGCCAATTTGCTTATTTGCCAATTGCTTATTTGCCTATATACATAAATTTGTATGCTATTGTCAGGCGACACGTCCGACTCGCGAAGTTCTTGTTTGATATGACATAACAAGTCTTTGTAGACTTTATTTCAAGCTCATGAACCTATATCATGTTATTATGTTGATAAAGTTTTGTTAATTATAACTTGTGTAAATTATGATCAATCCATCATTACCTTGAATATAGGTAGACAGACAGATGGATACTTTTTATTCAATTTCGAAAAATATAAATTCAGTTTCAAAAAGTAGTTGTTTTTTAATTATCTTGAGTTTCAGTTTTAGCTCCACTATTCAGAGAATAGGGATGCTATTCTACCCACCAAGGCATTGGTTTTCTTGGTAACTTGTTTTTCTGTCATATCTCTGTTACTTTTGCTGATTTATGCTTACTGCAACTTTGCATAAACTTTGCATAATTACAAACATGCATACATGAAGAAGCTGTCCCCGTTATATACTGAATGTCAAGGTCACCAATGAATTGTACTACGAAGCCTTTGTTTTTCTGTCATATCTCTGCTACTCTTGCTTATATCTAACTGTAACTTCACATAAGCATTAGGTAGCATGCATACACAATATTCAATATTCCATTATACCCTAGGTCATGATCATGGTCATGGTCACCTGATAGCATGTAAAATGTTCAACATGAAGAAATGGAAAAGTGTGACCAAATTTCAAAAACATTGAACAAAAGCAAAATGTTGATGGACACACAGACATAAGTGATCTCAAAATCTTACAGAGCTAAAAACGAAGCCTATTGCTTAAGTGCAAAGACAAACACCCGTGTTTAGCATGCACCAAGTGTATCATTCGTGATACTATGTGTTCCTACCACTAAAATGAAGCCCTCCGTGACAAATCTCCTGAGAATAACGACATTTTATATGCCATAAAATAAGAAATAGTTTTGTTTTCAAGTTCTTTTATTTTCAATCTTTATCCAATAATTTCCAATTATATATGACCAATCAAGTGTTTATTATGCCATCAATCTCTGACTTAAGCTGCACAAACAGATCTATAGCTGCAACACAATACGTATAAACCATTCTCAAGCACAGACGCTGGGGGTAAGATCCTGCCCCAAACGTGATACACCTCTGTAAACACTATATCAAAACTATTTTAATATTTATTTAAATACTAATTGGACATCTGTTACAACGATAAACCATTAAGTACTTTATTGAGACTTGGTGGTATATGGTATTTTTTCATACCGGTATATGTAAAGATTGTTTGAAAATCATTTTTAACGATGTCAAATTCGTGTTTAAATATTAAAATATTTTAATAGAGTGTTTACAGGGGCATGTATCACGTTGGGGTACAGGATCTGACCCCCAAGCGTCTGTGTTCTCAAGGACATGTCAGCCATCAGTTGTAGACATATATCTGCTTAGACATCACTGCAACTAAATTCATTGACCAACAGTATTCTTGGAAAAACACTAAATGTACAAGAATACTGTTGGTAAAAGTTAACAGATCTGACTCAACTGGTTGTCTGTAGTCAGATTTTCCATATACTTCCGGCACAGTGTAAACTATTTCTTCTGCAAAAAGCAAATTAGCAATCGGCAAAAAAGCAAATACGTAAACCAGCGTCTAAAAAATAAGCAAATTAGCAATTCAGCAATTGGCAAATAAGCATATTTGTCATTAAGCCTATCAGATATTGGCAAATAAGCAAAACAGCAATTAGCAAATAAGCAATTCAGCAATTGGCAAATAAGCAAATTGGCATGTCCCTACCGGCATTCCATACGCTAGGCAAGTCAATCGTAGCCCGAAATGGCCTATGTTAGCCATCTAGATTTCACAATATATTTAAATGATTGTTAAGTAACTTTAAAATTATCAAAGTTTCAACTGTCATGTCAAACTCCGCGCGCCGGTTACGCTACGACCAGAAACCACTGCCTTCAAAAAAAATGATGGTCTTATCTGGGAAACCTTTTGGTCTTGTCTGACTCTTCTGGGTACTTCGGCTAGCCGAAATCCGGATCCGACTGAACTGAATGGCCTGATATGATACAGTAAAACCTGTGTAAAAGATCATTAATTTATTCCATGATGTATCATACAATAACTTATCACCTCGACCACCGGCTAGCCAGAATAATTGGAAATTGCGGTTTCTACCAATGAAGAAAAAATCTGACCAAAAATTTAAGAATGTCATCTATGGACTGAAAATGTTCATAACAACTCGTGTCCCAGCATTTCTGGCTGGCCCCTGTAAGATTCAGGCTATATTCCGCAGAATCCAATATGGTGTGATGGTTAGGGGTTTTGACCGTGTGGCCGCTGGTATTGGTGTGCCCGACAAAGATGCGCAGAAAATCGGAGTATAAATTTCACTTTAGTTCACATCTCGCCATTTCCGGCTGGCCCCTGTCAGACGAAGGCTCAACTCACAGAAACTGATATGATTGTATAGTTAGGGGTCTGACTATGAGACTGCTGGTATAGATGACTGTGCCGCCGGGAATACTCTGGTATTTTGAAACAAATATACATCACTATGAAGGCCCATAACTTTCTGGAACCAGTTTCATTTGTATAGCTTTTGAACGATAAAAGTAGGCATGCTATTTTGTTTATATCAGATGTTGACATTCCACAGCCAGTATATTCTTAGTTAAAGATTTTTTGTGGTCAAATTTGAATTTGATGTTTGAAAATATTGAAAATTGTAACACTGTTT